AGCCAAGCCAACAACCTGCTCCATCTGGAAATAATGTGGGTGAGTCAAACCATCAACATGCTGTCCTAGAAGAAACAAATTCTAGAGGTAAAGTTTTTACTTAAATTGTTGTTTTCCAAATTTATAAGATGAATTTATTTGAATTTATAACTCATGAATGTATTTATTATTAGCACCATCTCCACCACCTAGAAAGCCAAGAGGTCCAACATTGTTGTCCCACATATGGGAGTTGGATAAAGGTGCCAAGGTCAACGTCATGTTTGATGCAAACTGCCACCCAATTGGTAAAGAAGGCTGCACCTTGACTCGATTCATTGGTACTATTGCAAGAAAATCAGATGTTGCACCTATTAACTACAAGGATTGGAGGGATATGCCTCAAATTTATAAGGATGACATGTGGAAGATTATTGAGGTAAAAAAAAAAAAGAGGCTTACACCCTTAATAGATTAGTAAACTTGGTGCAAATTTGGTATATTACTGAATCTGAATTTTCGGTCTTTCCCGTACATATCATGATTCTGCATGTATTGTTAAATAATGCAACAAGGATTTAATTGCTTTCCCGTACATATCATGATTCTGCATATATTACAAGAATTTTTGGTCTTTCCCGTACATACCATTTGAATTATAATACTTCACCTTTCACTTATGTCAAAAAGGCCATAGATTTTTGCACGATTTGTCCAATTTTAGTGAAGGGAAACCACATATCCAAAAGGTCTGCATCTCATTTAAATTTGCTTCTTTTTCTTGCAGTTAATCTGAATAGATTCAGGCACTGCCATAATTGATTTCCCATTATGGCATCTCTCCCTGCCTTGCTTTTGTTTCTTGCTCTTCTCCCTGTAATTTCTGCTATAGAAGTTGAACATGCTACAATTACAATTTATGGGAGTATGACAATTGCTGAAACTGATAATAATTTTGTTTGTGCTTCCTTAATTCCTACTTAATTATTCAAACTTTACATTTAATTTTCCCTTTTCATAATTATGAAAGACTGATTCTAATAAGTTTCTATTTGGTATAAGTTTTTTGTTGGATGAAAGTTTTGCTTTTTACATGTGAAAAGGAGCTTATTTGGTTTAGATTTTAGAGTTCTGTATGATGAATAGGACTCAATTTTAATTATGTTGGATCAGGATCTGGTGTGGTTACATGTTTAGTGATTTGTGCTGGTTATAGGTTGAACTATTTGCTTACAGAGGTTTAGGTTGAATATGAAGCTACATGGTGTTTGTTTTGCGGGTTGAAGATGACTTTTAACTGTTATGATGTTTTGCCATTGTTATTATTGGTTTTTTTGAATCTCATTTTGTTTTTGTGGTTTCTAATTTTAGTCCAAGTTCCTTATTGAAGAAAGCCGCAAAGAGCAAATCAAGAGTTGGATTATGACTGATGTTAATGAAAAATGGAAAAGCTATAAAAATGAGCTAAAAAGTGCAGGATTTGATCTGTTGCTAACAGTAGATGAAATGTATGAAAAGATTAATGATCCTTGAGTTGATAAGGAACAATTTGAAGTGCTTGTTGAATATTGGCGTAGTGAGAAAGGAGAGGTATGACAATTTTGTTCTGCAGTTGACATATTGCCTAATTTTCTATTACCACAAATAACTTATACCTTTTGTTTTCTTCCAGAAAATTAGCAAACAGAATAAAGAAAACAGGCTAAAACTGGAAGAGCCCCATTGCCTAGGCACCAAGACTTTTGCACGATTTGTCAATGAGAAGGTAATTTATTTTTCTGCTCAAGCTACTTTATTAAAGAAAGCAGTGTACATACTGATCAAGTGATAATTGAAATTAATTTAGGGCATGATGTTAGATTAGTAATAAATTAAATTTTTATCCTATCTTTCTTTTTTTAGTATAATTGCTTAAAGGTATATTAGAATTTTATTATTTATTGCTTTTTTATTATCCAGGAAAGCTCTGCTGAAGGGAGAAAGCTGTCAAGGGCTAAACTCTACATTCAAAGTCGAACAAAAAAGGAAGGGGGACCTGTAAGTGAAAAGGCAAGCCAAGTGACGATTAGTAAACACAAACTCTGTGTTTTAAATATGAGAGGGTTGTTCTTCATGGTATAAAAAAAATAATGAGTTATTTTCGGGTTAAATGTCATAGGAACAACTTAAAAACTACATGAGTGAGTCTACTTCTTCTGCAAATGCATTAGAGGAAAGTACATATTGGAAAGATGATGTACTCTCTAAGGTGAAGGGATCTGACAAGAAAGGAAGGGTTCGCTGCTTAGGGAAGGTCCCAACTTCTAAAAAATCTGTCCCTTCCACGTCTGCAAATGGCAATGTTGAGGAAAGGTTGAGCGAGGTGGAGAATATGTTGAGTGGATTAATGCAGCTAGTGAAGGCAAGATTCCCGGACGAGAATATCACAGATATTCTACAGGCTGCCAACCAATTAGGTGCTGCCAACAGATTGGATAGGGAGGTAAACTTCTTTTGTTCAACCATTACAACTTGACATTCATTTTCTTTGTATTCTTGCATTTATATGGTTTGGTCGATGACAAATAGATTTATCATTCGAAGCTTTGCTATGACATATTTTACTTTTTGTTTTTATGAGTAGTGCAAGGGGCACTCGCCTCTTGCACTCTCCGGCTAACACTTCCCTTTTCATTGGGCCTCGTAAGCTTGTTTTAGGCTTTGAGGTGCAACCTCTTAACTACCAGAATAATGTGGCCCAATAAAAGTGAAAGTTTTAGCCAGAGAGTGCAGAAGGCAAGTGCCCTTAGCACTCCTCTGTTTTTATTTTCTTTATTTATTTTGATCTTTTCAACTGGATCCTTCCATTTTATTTCTATTAATTTTTTGTTTCTTTCTAAGTAATTGGCCCTAATCGTTCTATCTCTAAAGTTAGGCGTGTTTGCGGTGGGTTTTTGGTGAGTTTTGTTTTTGTTCTTTTAAATTTTCATTCCAAATCTATACTCATTGAATTTTATTCTTCAATAGGCACATGCGGCCCATCAAGAGGTATCCCATACTTATACCTCTTTTTTCGGGTTTCCCTATTTTTTAAGTTTAATCTTTGAAATCTATTTTTTTTATTTCTTTTGATTGAATTTTTAAAATTTTAGTTATCCCTTAATTTCTTTCTACTGAATTGTAGGTTCCGGATGCTAATAGTGGGCAAGGCTTTTCCCCAAATAATCGTTCCTCTTCACAATCAAGCCATCACCTTTTGTTTCGGCAAAATGAAAGTAATGAAGAAAATGATGGGCAAAGGGATTGAAAGGCATGTTTGTGTCTCCCTGCTTGACAGTTTAAAGAATAATGACTTTCTAGTTTGATAGATGCATTTTCTTTTAGATAATTTTACAACTTTCGATATGAGACACAAGCTATTTTTTCAAAGTTGGGAATTGTATGAAATCTTCAATGCTTTCAGCTTTAATTATGTTCTGAATCAAATCATGGGTTACGGCAATGTTTTGTTGCAACTTTGTCTTGTTCAAAAGAGGGCAATTTGAGTTCTGATTTGTTTGTATGTGTTAAAGAATGTGTTTTCTTGTGAACGTGTGTTGGTTTATGGTCTTCTAATTTGTTCTAAGTGAATGTGTGATATGGATGGTTCATTCCTAAATTCTTACCCAGAGAATTATGATATGAATGTTTGTCCTGTATATTCAATGTATTTCATACATGTATATACCCCATTAGTCTGGTTTTTTGACAAGTCTCTGACTTTGTTTTATAATGTAGTCTAGTTGGTTGATGAATGTATGAAAGTTTAGATGTGAGTTCTGGGGTGCTGTGCTTCTTGTTTGGCTCATAAAGGCTTCCGCTTGTCACTCAATCATTATCATACTAATTGCAATCTTTGGTTTACTATTTAGGAGGTTGTGTGATATATTTATTCTTTGAAATTTTGCATTTTTTTTCTTGTTAAGTTTCTGACAATCTTTCCCCGAGACATGAAGCACCTTTCTATACATTTCTTGAACCTGTATGTAGTTTTATCAACTTCAAATGGATTTGGTGTTGGAGTTTATGTTTGATTTTGAGGGCTAGCTGTTAGGGTTCAACTATGTTTTCTTTTTTTTTTTTTAGTTTTTATTTTTGGTTTGCACTTTCCCATTTTGTAATAAGAAATGCATTTCCTTTCCTTTTTTATTTTTTATTTTTGGTTTGCACTTTCCCATTCTATAACAAGAAATGCATTTCTTTTCTACATCTCATAGATCATTTTATAATCCTGCACTTTGAGCCAGTCATTGGCTGCATCTATCACTCTTATCATAATTTACTGCTTCTTCCTTTCTGCTTTTGTATTGACCTGTAGTCTTCGCCCCTCAAAATGGTGTTTGTCATCTTTTGCTCTTTTGCACTTATCTATTTCTTGACTTTTTTATCCTTTTCTTTTTATTTGCTATCTTACCATAAACAAGGATTGAAGAACATAACTTCAGGGGCAGTAGAGTGTTGCTATCTTACGGTTGGGAATAGCAACACTCCTCAAACTTCAGGGGCACCACCTCCTCTAGTGAACCATTCACCCAAAACACACGCTTATGCGCTCATGGTTCTTCTTGTTTCAATGCTTGCCTTAATTTAACCATTCTTTTTCATTTTCCCTATACCTTTTTCTTCTCATCGACCCTGTAGGTCTGTACCATATACCGCGAGGCATTGTTTCAGGTATACAGGAAGCAGTTTGAGCTTCCTTTCATATTTTTTATGGTTCAGTGGCATCATTTTTACACAGGTTGTAAATATATTTGATTATAAACAAAGATTGATATAGCATTCTTATACATGGAATTCAATTTCGAGTTAGCAACCTGAAACTAAAATGCCTGAGAATTTTAGGTTCCTTTAGGTTAGTTCACATGTCTGAGCTGCATTCCATAATGGAATTTTATTAGGTCATATCATCCATTATTTCCCAAAATTTTAACTCTCTGATGCTATTCACATTTTTGTTCTTAGCTAAATTTGATTAGAGTATGGATAGACCTAGTATGTTTGCTGCCTTTCACAACCACAGATTTTAATTATTTATTTAGATAAAAAAGAAAAGATAAGATAATAGAAAAATATAATTTTCCTTCACTTCTTTTCTTTTTATTTCTCAACTAAATATAAATAAATTTAAGCGCATTTTAATAATTCATAAAAACAATCAAATTTGAAGAGTTTTAAAATGCACTCAAACACTTCAATTTACTTATATGTCAGCTAAATTTGAAGAGTTTCCCTTTAAGTACTCCATGCATAGCTTAATAAAGAGAAAGAGGAAATTAAGAAAGTGATTAAAACAAACCATAGATGCTTCATTGTACGTAAGTTGAAGCATATGATTTTGTCCAATTTTTTTTTTACTTTTTTCTCTTCGGTCACAATTGAAATTGATTTAAAGATTACATTTAGATTTTTTGATTTGATGATTATATTTTTCATTATAAAGTATACTCTTAAACTTAAAT